GGAAGGGGGCGGGGCCGAGATGCGGGAGGGGCCGCGCCCGGGAGCGCCGGGAGCCGGGAGCGGGGACCCGAGCCGTGGAGGGGAGACGGTGGAGGGGCTGTAGGGGCCTGGGGGCGGGACCCCGGGGGGCCTGGAAAGAGGCGGCTCTGGGTGCTGTGGGGGAAGGGCAGACGCTGGAAAGACCGCGCTGCTTCCTCAAAAGCAGGGCCCCCGATGGAGGACAGCGGTGAAGGAGGGCGGCCAGGGTCTACTCTAGGATGGGGCTGACAGCTGAGAGGGGCTGAACGGGGAAGCCGGGCCGAACTGGCTTGCGACTGTGGGGAGGCCCTCTTGGTTGCTCACCCCAAGGCCCTTGGCTGCTCCCCTTCGCCCTGAGTTCCTGATTACCGCTTAGGGTTGGGATGGTACCCTGACCTTTCTCCTGTGCCAGATCCCCAGGGCTCCAGCTAGCGACAGGAGTAGGAACAATGGTGTCCAGCCTCAGCCTCTTCTCTTTGGTTCTTAGGTCTTTTCTCCTGGCACCCTGTATTCATGGCCTTGGCGGTGAGTTTGGGCTTGTCTGCAACTGATTTGTTTGGATGTACCTCATGTCACCCCCTAGGGAAGCAGCCACCCTCCAGAAGGCCCAGCCTTTTTAAGGCTCAGAGAGGTGAAGGGAACATCGAGGGCCCCATCTTTCCCCGCAACTTACGCAATGGGAAACAAGGAGGGCTGGCCCGGGTGTAAAGTGTCAGGTGGTTGAAATGAGTGGGAGGGCGTGGAAGATATTTCTTTCTCCACCGGGGCCTAAGAGGAAGAAGTGGAAGGGGTGTTATCCAGTCCTTTCCACCCTTGTCGCCTGAGTTCAGGAAGAAGTTCAACATTTGCTGTTCCACCAGTCGAGAACTGGGAGTCATCGTCCTTGGAGGTTGGGTGGGGGATGAATCCTGGACTTGCACTCAAGTGCTGCTTCCCAGTTATTTCCAGAAATGCTGACCCATAAGGCAGGTGATCCTTAGAGGATACTCCTTAGCCCCTCCCCTTTATTCTCTTTATCTGGATGTATGACAGTACCTTTTTCTCACACCTCCAAGCCAACCCCCAAGCTCACTGACCCTCTCCTGTGTTCACAGTTCTGCCTCTGCATGGCTGAGGCCATCCTACTGTTCTCGCCTGAACACTCCCCGTTCTTCTTCTGCTCCCGAAAGGCTCGGATCTGGCTCCACTGGGCAGGCCAGACCTTAGCCATCCTCTGTGCAGCCCTGGGCCTAGGCTTCATCATCTCCAGCAGGACTCGCAGTGAGCTGCCCCACCTGGCGTCCTGGCACAGCTGGGTAGGGGCCCTGACGCTGCTGGCCACTGGCGGCCAGGCACTGTGTGGACTCTGCCTCCTCTGTCCCCGGGCAACCAGGGTCTCGAGGGTGGCTCGCCTCAAGCTCTACCATCTGACATGTGGACTGGTGGTCTACCTGATGGCTACAGTAACGGTGCTCCTGGGCATGTACTCTGTGTGGTTCCAGGCCCAGATCAAAGGTGCAGCCTGGTACTTGTGCCTGGCACTGCCCCTCTATCCAGCCCTGGTTATCATGCACCAGATCTCCAGCTCCTACTTGCCAAAGAAGAAAATGGAGATGTGAGTTCCTCTGAGCTCTGAATCTAGGCGGGACACTTGTCTTGGACTCCAGTGCTTCCTTTGGTGACCTACAAGGGACCCACTTCAGAAGTGGTCAGGCTTTTGCACTTCTTGGCTGGGCCAGGAGCTGCAGAAGCCTAGGTTGCTACTGTTGCCGGATAACTCAGTGGGCCCCAGCAGGAAACATACTGGCGTGAGTGGAAGGTGATGGAGAGCTTGATCTTGAAGCCTTCTCTCCGGATGGGAGAGAGAGTGCTGGGTGCTGGTGGTGGTCACAGTGGTGGTGGTCATTGCTTAATCCTGTGCCTGATGAAGAGTTGGGTTTCTGGAAGTTATGAATGGCAGCGTGGATATCTGGGCCACATTTGAGAAAGCAGTGTGAGGTAGTGGAGCGAGCTGGTGGGTCTTGTTTATGGGGTATCGTCCTCTTAGTCTCTACCGTGTGACCTTAGGTAAGTTTCATGTCTCAAGGCCTCAGTCTCCTGATCAGTGAAATGTTTCTAAACAGTCTGCAGGTTCCTTCTGTCCCTGACATTCAGTGTCTGTCAGGTTGATGTCACAGAACACGCTCCCAGCTCTATACTACGTGGACCACTTGGCATACTCAGAATGTCATTCTGACATTAATTCTCCCTTTAATCCCCTGGCCTAGAGGGACAGGAATGCCCTCGGGGCTATTCAGAAATCTGTGCTGATTTGGCCCCTGGGCCAGGGCACGGGGGTCAGGTGCTGTGGAGAGAAGGGGTGCAGGTGACTACAAGGCAGTAGAAGCACCAAAGTCACTTTAAAGCTTTTGGAGGAACAGGGACACTGGTTTAACCAATCTGTGCTCCTGGCCGGGCTGCACAGCCCAGCCAAGAACGCTGTTCAGGCCACTGCGGAGTCTGGGCTGAGGCCTGCAGGACCTGGCGTGCTCTCTCCCCTGCCATCCGTCGTCAGGGCCGAGTACTCCTGGGCACCTCATGCTCTATCCTTCCTAGGGCTTGAGTTCTTGCCTTTTTAGCACATAGCTTCTTGGCACTTTTTCAGCGCTTTTAATAAGGGGCAAGGAGGTGGGGCAGGGCCCTTCAGATCCAAGGAAAACAAAGTCTCCCTGGCTCCCCTTCCCCCCTTGTTACCTAAGCTTCCCTCAGTTGTTGTCTCTTGGCAGCTCTCTGGCCCAAGAGGGGGCTGAGTTTGGGGCCAGCTGGCAAAAGAGGGTTGGGTTTTCCTCTCTGCAGAGACCCCTCCTTGTTCTAGCCAGAAGTAGTCTGCAGACTGCCCTTGGTGGGGAGGGCTGGATGCCAGACTGGTTAGCTGTGGTCTGGCTCAGCTAGGGAGATGGGACCCCCATAGATCACAGCAAGGACCGAAGACAGCTGAGCCAAGAAGCTGCTGTTGAGGTAGGTAGACCCAGCTCACAGGGGACCCCCAGAGGCCTGGGGGATTGGGGCTGGAGCTCCAGCTCCCGGGAGCAGGGCAGGTGTTCCTGGGTGTCGGGATTTTGAACGTCCCAGGTCTTCCAAAGATTCCAGTCCTCCTCTTAGTAGCTCAGAAGCAAGGGGGTTGATGACACTCAGTAGTTCTGAGTGGGGTCTGCACAGGCAGAAGTGTCCTCTAGTATATCACATCATGTCGTGGGGAGACTGCAGCTGCCAGGGCACCCTAGACACTGCGTGTCCAAAAGAGACCCCTGCTCTGCAGAGGGGGAGTGTCCCTTTGCTTCCATCACCTCCCTCCCTCTCAAACTTTCCAGTGTGGGTTGAACTTAGAAGCTGCATGGAGATTCTCACCTACCATCCCCTGGTTCCAGGGGTCACATCTCCCCTCTTCACAGCCAGTGCTGGGGGCCCACCCTACGTGCAGCAGGGGAGGAGGGCCGGGAGACTTCACTGGCCTGCCGTAAAGCCTGAGCCAGCTCGAGGTGTCGCCTCCTCCCAGGTGGTGCGGGGGCTGGTGGGCGGGCGGGCAGGCGTGCTGACAGCCGGCAGTTTGCGTGGGCTGTGCCATCTGATGTCTATTCCCAGCCCTGGGAGGAAGGGGGAGTCATTTATATTCTGCAGGAGGAAGGGGCCCAGCTGCCGCCTCTATGACCAGCGGGCCTGGAGGGCAGGGGCACAGGGCAGGGAGTTGGGCACAAGTGGCCTCAGGCTCAACCAGGCCTGCCTGCAGTGTGGGGAGCAGGTCAGCAGGGGGAGCCCTTCATCCTGGCAGGCGGGCGTTGGGGGGCTCCCCCCTCCTCTCCATTTCTCCATCACCACCTGCCCTCACATCCTGGGGCAGCAGCTGGACAGCCATTAGACCTCAGTGCAAGGGCACTCTTCCTCCAGCTGGGATCTCTGTGGCTACCAGCTGCACATGTCTCCTGGCCGTGCGTCCCCTCCTCCCCGTGTCTCCTGACGTCTGGGGTATTCACCGGGCTCCTCAGCAAAGCGACAGCAGCCTGGGGGAGAACCAAATGGCTTGCCCCTTTGCCCTTGTTCCCTGGCTAGGGAAAGCTGCTTGTACCCTGGCTAGGGAAAGCTGCTTGTAGTCAGCCTTAAAAAAAAAAAGCCAGGGTGCTCAGATTTTTTTATTTTGTTTTTTGAGTTGGAGTCTCACTCTGTCGCCCAGACTGGAGTGCAGTGGCTGCTCCCGGCCACCGCAGCCTCGACCTGCTGGGCTCCGGCGATCCTTCTGCCTCAGCTTTCCAAGTAGCCGGAACTACAGGCGCACGCCACCACGCCCGGCTAATTTTCGATTTATTGTAGAGATGAGGTCTTGCCAAGTTGCCTAGGCGGGTCTCGAACCCGCTGGCTCAGGCAATCCACTCACCTCAGCCTCCTGAAGGCGCGGGATTACAGGCTGAGCCACCAAGACTGGCTAGATTTTTTTTTTTTAATTGCGTGTTATTTGCACACATTTTCATATCAAACTAAGTTCTGATTCCAAATTTGATCCTCCAAGTTTGATTATATTCAGACTCAACCTTGAGGACATTAGACACAGATGGTTTTTGTATCCAAATCTGAATGGTCATAAATGAGATTACCCTTCTGGGTGTGGGCAGCCCTCCCGAGCCCCTACCTTTCTCACACCAGCCCCTTCCCCTGAGCCCTGTTGTGGCCCACTGTGGTGCTGGATGCAGGGGCTGTGTCTGGAGAAGTCTTCCAGCCTACCTTCTTGGCTTCTCAGCTGTAAAGGAGGGCTGGTACCACCTGCCAGCTGGTGCTTCCTCCCCCGCCTTCTCACAAGGCAGACGGCCCTTCCCCACTCCCTGACACTGGCTGTCCCTTCCTTCTCCTTGTCCCTGCCCTTCCACCCCCTTGCATGGCTGCTATGGGTCTTGTTTTTAAAACCTCACGGTGGGAGATCCACGCGTCCTCCCGAGCCAGCTGGCTGCTGTGCCAAGGCCTGTTCCGAGTTAATAATCATCATTAGCCGAATGATGCTGGGGCCTTTCAGCTCCAGAGCTCCAAGCTCACAGGCTGAGTCAGCCAGCTCTCACCGTCCCCCTCTTCCTGGACTGCAAAGCATGAGTAATGGGAGTCGGGAGCCTTGCTGCCTAGGCTTCTGACCTCTTGGAGTGGGCCCTGAGCGTCCTCTCAGTCAAAGGGCTTTACGCCTGACAAAAGTCAGGATATGGAGGGAACACAGTGTAAACTTGGCAGAGACTGGTGGGGGGGGGGGCGCTGTTGACCCTGGACCTCAACACTCCTGCCCTTCCTTGTGTCTTGGCCTCCAGGGGGCTCCCCCGGTCCTGGTGCCTCAGCCTTTCCAGTACCCTGTGCCAGTTGAGAGAGCAGGGAGGCTTCTGATTTAGAGCCCCTGATGCCCTTGCGTCTGGCTGGCACAGAGACCCTGTGTGTCCTGAGATGAAGGGTACATTGGCCCGGGAGCTAGGAAGCCTGCGGTGTGGGTCTGCTCAGTCCCTAACACTGGCATGGCCATGGGAAGCCGCTTGCTGCTGGCCTGCCTCACAGGGATGTTGTGATAAATGTGAACAAGCACTGGGAAGCTCGAAGCGTTAAACAGACGGAAGCAGGCGGTGTTATGGTGTCCTTGTCCTTCTCTCTCGCTGAGCCTGGCTCTGGGCTTTATGCTTCTCAGGAAGGCAATAGATAGTCATGGGTGCTCAGGCATAGGGGACCTGAGTCTCGGAGGTTGTGCCAACAGCCATAAGAGAACCCAGACACATTTCCTCCTTCTAGACTCAAGGCCGGCTCTTAGCCACTCCTAAGAAATGCCATCAGTGCCGTGACGAGTGGAGTTGGCCTTAAAGTGCTGCCTGCCTGGTGCTTTCAAGTCGTGGGGCTGACTGCAGCTCTGGGAGTCAGTCCTTAGCCCCTAAGTCCAGCCTGAAGCCCCTGGAGCTGGTCTTAGTCTGGAGCTGCTGGTCACAGTCTATCGAAATCTCTGCTAATTCATTCTGCCCCTCTGAGGAAAAAGTAGGGCAGGCAAACCAGGAAGAGCAGGGCGACAGTGACAAACACAGCATGGCCGCTGACCTGCTGGCTTCTCCTGTGGCCACAGGCCGAGCTTGCCTGCCACAGGCACTGGAGCTGCAGAGCTGTGACCCCCTGACTTCCAGAAGTCCACAGCTTGGTTTCCTTTTCCTTGTTTCAGGCTTCTGGAGTAGAATCAGTCCCCTCCTCCTCAAAGTGCCTTATTGGAATTAAAACACACACACACACACCCGCACACCATGAAAGCAGCTCTGTTTAAATTTTAAATTAGGAGAAGGATACTTTCCATTCCATTTGTCTGAGAGCAGCCAGCAGTCTGCCTGGAGTGGATGCACAGAGGCTTGAAGACTCGTTTTCTATCTTAATTGTTTTTTCTGTCCTGGGATCCAGGAGTGAAACACTAGTCAGGCATTGTGTGCATAGCCTCAGCTGTTCTAGCAGCACAGTACAGAGAAGACATAAGCTGGGAGGCAGGAAGACAGCGCCCCAGAACTGCCCTGGAGGGTGGTCGGAAGCAGCCAGTCTCCAGTGCGGAGCTGGGCTTAGGCAGACACAACTCATCTCCAGTGAGATGACCTTCCCCCACCCACTGCCCAGAAGGCTTGGCAGTTCTCCAGTGTGGTCAGAGAACAGTCCCAGCTTTTAATCCACCTGCTTCTGTCAGAATTTCCCAGGTGAGTTTGTAACCTCAGTTGGAAGCAGATTAAGGAGCGACTTCAGGCTATTCTGTGGCATTTGAGGCGCCAACTCTACGTCACTGAGCACACAAGAAGGCCCCCTAGCACCCTTGTCTTTCAAGCAGACTCTCAGTTATCTCATAGTGCTTTCTAAGGATGCCCAGTTCTGCTTAGACCCACGCCAAAAGCAAACCATGACCAGGTGAGGGAGCAGTGGGAGGTAAGGGAAAAGTGGCACAAAGTACTGTCCAGCTCCAGGGTTCTCCCAACCTGCAAGCACACACACACACCAGCTTTGAGGGCCATGACTCTCATCATATATGCTGGTGCCAGAGGGCTCCAAGAAGCCCCACTGCAGGTTGGTTCTCTGCGGCCCAAGGAGAGGAACTGTCCGACCGAACCAGAAGGCCTCAGAGCAGGTCTAAGTCTCTTCGTTTTGTATTTTCCACCTGACAGTGGATAAGCCCAATGAAGGGCCTTGATGGGTGGCAGCTCCAGCCTTCCCCTCTCAAGCCCTGGGAGAGGAAGTATACTTCTTGGGCTCACTGGGGCTAGACCAGAAAGGCCAATGGTCCTGCCGCAAAGATCTGGGCCTTTTGCTGCCCTGCAGGTGGGGCAAGTGGAGCTTCGCCACTGGTTTCCTGGGAGACAAGGTGAGTGGTGCAAGAACTGCAAATACAGAGAGGGAAAGAGCCAAGAGACCAGGTGGAAGAGGCTAGGCCAGCCGAACTGAACTTCCGTTCTGTCCTAAAACGAAGCTGCAACAGCACGCCTTCCCCTTCCCCAGTGCCACCTAAGAGGATAGTGCTGCAAGACATAGCAGACACAATTGCACATCTTGGCCAGAACTCAGGGAACTTCTTGTGGCTTATGGAGGTAGGATAGGGGTGGGGGACGGGAGGGTTGAAGAGATGTAGCCATGGACTTTCTTGCGACGACAGAAGAGTGTCAAAACTTCTCAAGCTCAGACAAAGGGCTTGGCATAGGCCAGAGCAGAGAAGAGAACTCTGAGTAGCCTTTCTCAGACCTGTTCTTTATCAGCTTCAACCTGTCAAACTGTCAGCCATAGCAAAAACTCCTTTGAGGTTGGCATGGTGGCTCATGCCTGTAATCCTAGCACTTTGGGAGGTCGAGGTGGGAGAGTTGCTTGGGCCCAGGAGTTTGAGACCAGCCTAGCCAAGCTGGTCTCTATAGAGCAAGCCCTTGTCTCTACAAAAAAATTTTAAAAATTACCTGGTCGTGGTGGTGCACATCTGTAGGCCCAGCTACTCCGGAGGCTGAGGCAGAAGGACTGCCTGAGCCCACAAGATTGATGTTGTAGGACACGCTAAACATGTAAACATTAACCTATTAGGTGTATATGCTTTTAGCCCAAGATGGCTACCATTTGCAACATGAAAACAGACTGGTAATAATTAAAAATGTTGTGAAAGTGAGCTGCTCTCCTTATTTTTTTAAACCGAATCCAAGCATTTTTCCACAGTACAGTCTGTAGGCTTGATCCAGACTTTTAAGAGAACTCTGCAGGGAGGCAGCCCTCCTCCCCAGGGACCCAGGAAGCCCTCCTTATCTACAAGCCTTGGCCCCAAGTCATGATATTTCTAAACTCTAAAGTCTCAGTGACATTTCTTTTGAGAATCTGTCTCAGAGGTTAGCAAACTGTGGTCTGTTGGTCAAATCAACCTGCTGCCTGGGTTTTATGTGGTCTATGATATAATAGTAGTTTTTACATTTTTTAATGGTTGGAAAAACTCAAGAGACATGTTAAGATTATATGAAACCCAAATTAAACTTACTGGAACAGAGCCACAATCATTCGTCCTTGTGTAGTCTGTGGCTATACCACCGTGAACACACAACCGAGTTGTAAGGAACTATGGCCTACAAAGCCTAAAACATGTACTATCTGGCTGATACAGAAGTTTGCTGACCCCTGGTCCATCTTAATGCCTAGATGTGTACTACCCATGTCCTCATAATAGCATCTAAAGATTCTCTCTCTAGAAAGGCCACACCCTTCTGAGGTATAGTGAACCCCCCCCCCACAGGCTGAAAAGATAAACCAGTCAGACTGTGCCAGAACAGAGACTCAAGCCAGGTTTAATGATCATTGTCTAGTTGTCAGAGCCCAGAGGCTCCAAGACTTGCCAGCCTGGGAGCACACAAGTGGGAGGAACGGGGCAGTGGATATGGGCACCTGCTTGCTCTGCCAGCAGGGCTACATGGAAGAACAGAGGTAAGAACACAGAAAGCCGGGTCAGTCGGCTTTGCTCTCTCCAGCTGGGGTGTACCCTCTCTTAGGAGACCTCATAAATACAGACAAAAAAAAATCACAAATAATTACACAGACTGTAGAGCCCTGTCACGCTGTCTCCAGGGACACTTGCCTCCTGGGAGATGTATCTGGTTTCTGGCAGGGAGGAGGTGATCGCTCAGCCTTTTCTGATAACCAACATCTGGCCATTTTCTACACAGGGTTCTGGTGTGATTACATATGCTGAGTGCACAACCCCCCAATTACAAAGCTCCCTTTGGGCTCTATCAACTGAAACCCTGAGAAGAAGCGAATCTGCTAACTTGGTGGGGCAGCCAGGCACATCTGCCAGGTATCTCAAACTGGGGGCTGAACTACTGGATATAGCAGGAGCCTTAGAGCCGCAGTGCCCTTTCTCCTTCCCCAAGCTGGGTAGGACTTAAGAAGATGGCCCTCCTAGAGAGTCCTCAGGAGCTCTGCTAGAATGCTCAGAGGGCCTGCTTCCTCTGACATTCACTTTAAAGCTTTTCAGAGCCCTAGAGGGTGTCAAGGGGGGAATGGCAGCATGGAGGTGAGATTCTCCCATGTTTCCCGAGAAGTCTGAGGAGGGATTTCTGGCTCCTATAGCTCCAGTAACAAAAGCTTCAGAAGTCTCTGGACTATAACCAGACAACTTTTCTCTTCTGCAGGCAATTAACCTAGGAAGAGCAACTCACAGCTGCTTGGCTCTGTACGAGTTCCCTTCCGGGTCCTTCAATGACCTAGTTCTCTCTTAATTTCTCTCAAAGATAGTCTTTAATCTAGGGAAGGTTTCTGAGAAGTCTGAGGAACCAGCTAGGTCCTCACCACCCCTTCTCCCAAGGTCTTCCACACGTCTCTCCTATCTCCAGCCTCTGCAGAGTAGTCATTCAGTGCCGCAGAGATAGGGGTGAAGTCTCAGGAGTTCAGAAGTTACAATACAAGAGTTTGTGTGTTTGAGGAGCCTGGCATGGTCACTGTCTCTCCTACTGGGCAAGAAAGTTGTGTGCGTGAAGTTGTATACATGGTGGAGACCATTCCAAGAGTGGCATTAGTGGGACTGCAGGTTCCCTGTCCTGATGGAAGTCAAGGTACCGGTGTGCGTGCATGCATACCTATAAGCATGCATACCTACGAGCATGCAAGTACTTGAGGAAAATGCTGCACCTTTCTCTCGACGAAACTAGGTTACTAATAAAGGATGGACAGCAGTCTTGAGATCCCAGGACCAGACAAGGGGAAGATGTGGAGTCCCGTTCCCCGATCTTAATAGGAAGCTTAATAGTCAGGCCCTCCCAGCAAGCACCCCCACCCGCAGGTAAGTAACACCTCTCAGGACGTAAAGAGCTGGTCAAAAAGCTAGAGGATCTGGAGAACTTCCAACAGACAGGAAATGTGGGAGGGAAGAGACACTGAAAAAACCAACATCAGAGAACATTTTCACCTTTGCCTTGCCCGTTCCCCTGCCAAAGCTCGGAGCCACCACCTCCAGGGGCATACAGTATGGCCAAAGGGAAAGGGATCCGTCATCTCCATTCCTGGAGTGTTCCGCAACCCTGGATGAACTATAATGTCGGGCTCATTCTTCTTAAGTTCCTCTGGCCTGACAACTACAGCTGCACGAACCTCTGACTGAGAGGGATGGGGTGGCAGCACTTTCCTTCTGAGAGTTTAGCGCGACTGTTGGTCTCTGCTACAGGGTCGCCTGGAATCTTGGGGAGAGGGCAGGACTCTAAGCCGCACTCCAAGTTGCCATTCTTGGGCAGAGACCACCCAATTCCAACCCCTCTGACCCCACACTTTGGCTTTGCAGCAGGGGTGACATCTTTGCGAGAGGAGCGAGGCAGGCTTGTCGACACAGGGGAGAGACACACCAGGTCCCCTTTTCCTCCCAGCTCAGCCTAACCCAACTGGGCTAGACGTTCTTCAACTCCTCCCTTCAAAGCAGCATTTTAGGGGACACTCGGAATCCCACCTGAACTCGATAAGGAGGCTGAATGAAGAGAAGACATACACAGAAACCCAGGCCCAGCCGGATGCCACATGACAGAGGCTGATTGACCCTCCTCCTTCTGGTGTGAAGGAGGTCCACACATCCGTGGCAGGGGTCCATAAACGCTCTGCCTTCTGCGCCCCCACTCTGGTCTGACACACAGATGCTGGGAGTCAAATACTGGCCAAGGGTTTCACCAACCAGAGAATTTACCTATCTGGAGTCCACCCCCATCTGGAAGTTTTGTGCTGGCGCCTGTTCTGTGACACGGACCCCTCAGATCATGCTATCCCCCTCCGTGCCACTGGTCCCGGGACAAGGCACAGCGACCACACCTCACATTGCTGCCATAACCAACAGGCCACAGGCCGGGCTCCTGCAAAGATCCATCCCCCCAGGGATCATGGAGAAAGAGGAAGGCTTGAGTGGGAAGTCTTACAACAGCTTTGGGAATGTTATTGATTGAGTTCTCAGCCTTTCCTGTCTCATTTTCTAAAGGTTTCCAATTTCCCCAGCTGTGAAGTTTGACTTCCTGACCCAAGAAGATACCCTAGCTTTCCCCTGGTGTGGCTCCTGTGGAAACGCCCCCAACACACACATCACAGGTGCGAGTGGGCAGAGATAGAAAAAAACATTTTTTTCCCCAAATGGTTTTCTCTTAAGGAGCTAGGGATGACCTCGAACAAGTTTAGGGAATCTGTTCTTCCCCTCACTCCTTCCTCATTCCCATCCAACGCAGACATGCCTCTCTTCCTCCACCACACCGGGAACGGCCAGGGCTTTGGGTAGGGGTGTAGCATTCGCCTGAGGATGAGTATATCCATATTTGAAAATCGTGGCAGCCACACTCTGGCTGGGGTCTTGCCCTCTGCGGGACCTATGACCAACTCCCTTGAGGTCAGGGCAGCCAGCCCTCTCTTCCATCCCCTCACAGCCTTCAGGGGGGCATGACCTCTCCTGGGGCACTCTCCCCACCAACCCATCCTGCTCACACCACAATGGGCGTATCAGAGAAGACTGAGCTGACCGACTCTGGATCCGACATCCTCCGCTGGCCCTTGCCTGCTGCCTCAGGTACCGGCAGAGTGTTGCCTGGCTTGAGCTTGCCGTTCTGACCCTGCCCGGGGCCAGCAGGTTCCAGGAAAGCCACCCGCCGGTCAAAGCCATCATCTTTGTCCCCCCCAGCCATAGGATCATGGTTGGGCGTGGTGCTAAGCATGGAAGAGCTGAGGCTGTCTCCTTGATGGCTGGAAGGTTTCTCTACACCCCGGCACCAGCAGCGGCAAGGGGTAAGGTATAAGTATATCAGGACCAGGACCACGCTGAGGATACAGCCCACGAGGGTGGTGTAGGCTGTGTTGAGGGTGTCATGGTGTCCGTGCAAGGTGAAATTGTGCACTTTCAACTCCACGGACAGGGTCTCGTTGAAAGTCTCGCCCATGGCGTAACAGGTATACACGCCACCGTCCTCGACCCGCAGCTGGCGGAACTCAAGGCTGCCATCCTTGGACACTGTCACCGAGCCATTGGCTACCTCCTCTAGCACCCGCTCGTTGCTTGGCGTCACCCACACCTTGGTCATCTCCTGCTGCTTGGTGTCACACTTGATGGTCAGCTTCTCCCCTAGGTGGGCCTCCCGGGCACGCTCCTTGTACTCGCCGCAGTTGAGGAAGCTCAGGTTGAAGACGCTGTGCAGCTTCTTGGAGTTCATGCAGTACAGATCCTCTTGGAAGTCCATCACGGAGCTCAGCTGCCGGTACTGCCAGTGAGAGAAGAGCTGGTAGAGCTCGCAGTCGCAGTGCAGCGGGTTGTTGTGCAGGTACAGCCCGTTTTTGACCCACGCCGGCAGCTTCTGCAGGTCGGGCAGGGGCAGGTTCTTCAGCCTGTTGGAGGAGAGGTCCAGGAGGGTCAGTTTGGGCAGCTTGGCTCTTTCCTTGACCAGTTCCAGAGGGAAGCGGGAGATCTGGTTCTGGCTCAGGTAGAGTTTCTGCAGCTGGGCCATGTCGTCGAAGGCGCAGCGGTCCACCGCCACGATGTGGTTATTGTAGAGCAGCAGCACCTCCAGAGCCTGCAGCGCGCTGAACAGGAACTCGTCCAGCGTGCGCAGCTGGTTGGAGGACAGGTCCAGGTAGCGCAGGTTGGGCACGGGGGAGAAGGCCTCAGAGGAGATGAAGTTCAGGTGGTTGTGGCTCAGCAGCAAGGAGTGCAGCTGGGTCAGGCGCGTGGGGGTCCACTCCGCCCGCAGGCGGCTCAGGTTGTTGTGGCTGAGGTCCAGCAGCGCCGTGTAGCTGGGCAGGGAATGGGGCACATTGGGCAGCTGCTGTTTGGAGCAGCTGAGGATATTGCTGGCGCACAAACAGGCGGTGGGACAGCTAACCACGGGCCGGCCCGCTCTGGCCACCTCAAAAAGGAGCAGGAACAAGGACAGCAGCAGCAGCCAGAGGCCTCGCAGGTCACGCTGGGGTTGCATAGTGTCACTAGAGTGGGCGAGGAAGGCCACGAGGAAGATCCGGGAGAAGGTCACCCGGGCATGTTCTGGTGGGGGACGGAGGGCATCATTGGAAAGAGAATGAGTTTGTGGTCACCAGGGACTCCAGAGGGAAGGACCACCTCTCCCATGTCCCCTCCCGCCTGTGTCCACCCCCGAAGGGCTAGAAGGGAGAGAGGTGCTGGGGAGTTCCCAGGCACTGTGGGCTCAGAACGCTGGGGCACAAGCGGAGGTGGCAGAAGGGCCTGTTGGGCTGGGCTCACGGGGGTGTCGCCCGGGGGGACGCACAGGATGTCAGGGACTGGGGGGGCACGCGGATGGCGCGGGCCGGGCTTGGAGGCGGGGTCGGCGGGCCCGGGGAGGAGCCGGCGGAAGGTCAACAGGGCGCCGGGATGGGGAGGACGCAGCCGCCGGGGGGGAGGGTCCCCGGGGCCCGCGGGGCGGGATCCCCCCGGGGCCGCGGGTCACTGCACCTGCTCGGCGAGGACGCGTCTCAGCCCATGGCGGGTCCGGGAGCTCCGTCGCGGCCTCCCTCGGCGGCGCCTCCCCAGCCGGCCTGTCACTGCG